GTCACTTTGGTCAAAGGAACTAAATTGAGGGCATGTGGTTTTCTGGTTCCTTGGAGTGACTTCTTTTGAAACACAGTGTTTGCATGAAAAAGATGCAGCAGAAAGCAAAAGGCATGTTCAACGTACATGAACTGGTTAAAAGAAAAGTGTGGAATGAAAAAGTTCAGTACTCTTATTTTTATCTTTAAAAATAAAGCAGTATTTTTAGTGTGTAGAATTCATGCAGTGTATCTGAATGTTACTAATTGGCAACAACCTCCTAACTTACAGAATGTACAAAACGGCATGTCTTCAAATAAAAAGGTTAATGCATAAACGAACTTAACAGTTGTCTAGTATTCAAAATGTGAACAACAGAAAAATTTTACTTAAGATAGAAAGAACACAAAGATACAATTATTTCTGTTTGTTTTCAGTGCCCTTCAGTTATTCCGTATTACTGAATTAAAAATCCCGTCCCTGATAAAACTGTGGGAGAATGCAGTTAGGATAATTATTTGTTCGGAAAAACTCCTTTCTAAAGACATTCTTATAAGCTAGAAAGGAGAGCGAGTGCCTGTGACATGCAACAGGTCGGCTTACTTCGAGGAAAGCGAGGCGGGTTATCATTCACATCAGTTAGGGTCACGGTGACTGACGTGGTTCCAGAGAGTCCTCCGTTTTGACCAACCATATCCTTTGCCTGGATAACAAGCAAATACTGGTCTTTAGCCTCTCTATCCATGTTTGGAAGGGCGGTCTTGATGACTCCTGTAAAATTTCAAATCCCAGTAAAATGCATCATGAATCACTGCATTTATACTAGTGAAGAACACTGATACAGGCAGAAAACAGCTCTGGAGTTGCTGCCTTTTGCTGTTTTGTTGTTCACTTTTAACAATTTCAATCCATATTAAAGACCAAGGGATACAATAATCATATACAATATTACAAAACATGGAAAATGCCATAATTTGGAAGAGCAGAGTGGAGAGAGAGAATTATCTTTAGGTTTTATGGAAATGTGGTTCAGGAAACACCAACTTAAAATAAAATGTACTCAACTAGAAGAATGGGCGGTCGCCTACACGAGTGTATGACAACGGACTTCTCTTTTTCTCTTTCACCCTCTTCAACAACTTAATTCCCAGTGACGTGAAATTCATCATAAACCTTTCAGCTCTGGTCCCTACCAGCTCTCTTCTAGCAAAATAACTAAATACTTTATAAAGAAAAGAATGACAGTTATTTATAAGCAAAACAGCTTTCCAGACTGTGCTGCTGGATGATCTTATGCTGCATCTAAAGGTCTGAGAAAAAGCAGTAAGGATGAGCATCACTGTGTTAATGAAAATCAAGACGCTAAAAACATTGACATGTTTTGTTGTTCATTTCTAATCACTTGCATTTAGTACGGCTAGCCCTTAAGACTTCAGAGGTATGAGAAATTGATATCAGTAATTTCATGTTGCTTGATGGGAAAACTTGACTGAATGATCATTACTGCAGTAAATTAGTTGTTTATGTTAATACCCACTTATTATGTAAGTATATTAGGCAACAGAATCTATGGGATAGAATTTAGTTTATGTTATATGTAAATCTATAAAATGATGTATATACTTATTATAATAAATTTAGTGTATACACATAGAGATAATATCAAATGAAAATGTGTTCAATATTGCTCTATATAGATGTTGAAACGAGCAATATGGGTCCATCTTCACTAATTAGATTCTCCAAGGAGCCCAGAATCCTACTTAATCATTTCTTGTACTTTCATCATTGCCAATGACGACAATGTCTTTCCTGCCCGCCTGGAACCCTTCTGTTTATTGACTTAGTTTGAAATGTCTGTTCTATTATATTAAGCAGATTCTAACTTTCAGAATTTAAGTCAGAATTTAAGTCCCCAGTGACTCCCAGATTTGAGGAACAGAAACTCTGGTATCAAGGACTTCTCAAGGGCAAAAGCAGGTTGTTTATCAACAGTTCTTTGGGAAGAAAATAGTTATAAACAATTGGGCTAAACATTCTTTTTTCCTCATGTTCAGCAGGAAAATATTTTTATATTCTCCAAATTTACGAAACGTTTTTAAAAGCTGCCAGTTTAAATTGTTCAAATACTGATTCTTCAACGGACACGTGTAATAATGGTCTGTGTGTGTTACATTTCAGCCCTAGTAAGTGACAAGCCAAGGCTGCACTATACTAGGCCTGCCCTATTCTTCTCAATATTCCAGTTTGATAACTATTCTTGGAGTAGGTAAGAGATGAGAAAAGCTCTCAATAGTTTAAGAATAATTTAAACAATGTGTTACTGGTTCCCAAGATTCCAAGTTAAATAACACAACTATCTTAAGCAATCATATTTTTGCTTCGTTCTGAGCACTAGCTATCAAGTACACACACACACACACGTACACACACACACACACACACACAACCCCCACAACAACACATCAATATTTTAGGCATTTAATTATACTTCTTTGAGGGTAGGTTTTGTTCTTGTTGTTTTAACAATCACTTTTCTAATACATGAACTGGGCTGGACACTTGTTGCTACAATCACAGCAACACAGGGTCTCCTTAAGTAACTCCTTCATTGAACTCTTTTGCTTGTCTACACACTGCTTACAGTCAATTGCTGAAATATCACAATGAAAATCAGAAGAAACAGTCATATACGATTCAGTTCAGTTGATCACTGCCTGAGACGTTTTCTTCTTAGAGCCATAATGACTATGAATACTTCATGTCTGGTTTTCAATACTTCTCTTAACTCTATTAATATACAAGACAACGAGCACTGACCTCAGTAAGACTCACTGTTACCAAGCATAACGATCATTGTCTAAGAGTTCTGGGACTTACATCTCTCTCTCTCTCCATCACTTCCTCCTTCCTTTGATGTTAATCATCCTTTACTTTTTGTAATAATTTTTTTATAAATTGAGCACTGTCAGTCTTGCATATTTGACTAATAGTGTGCTTTCACATAGATGATAAAATATTAATGAAATTTTAGAAAAATTTCCCTCTCATTCAGTTTTAATTTTTAATTTCTATTCACCTCTCATTTTCCTTCCAATATCAATATGTGTCAGTGAGTCTGCACCCCTGCACATTTATTGTGATGGAGAGAGGCCCGTGGTCCATAACCCTTCAACTAATCAGCAGAGGAAATACTGCCACCTCATCTTCTCCTGGTTTTGCTTAGTGGTGTTATTAGAAAGAAAACATAGAATTACCAGGAGAGAAGTCTGGTGGTCAAAGCTACTGATTTTTCACACCTCTAATTGTCTCTTTACAAGTGATCCTATAAATAGCCCTCTTCCAAAGCAAAAGTCATCACAAAGTTTGCACAAAAAAAAAAGCAGGCGGCAAAGGTAATTTCCAAATACCTCAATTATTAAACGTATTTTTTACAAGAATGAAACAGTTGGAAGAGAACTGAATTTAAACAATAGCAATCAAAAGAAGAACAGACTCCTAGCCCTACGGCTTTCGCTAGCTTTTCGGCTTTCGCTAGCTTTTCACTCTGAAGTACAGGCCATCTATGTTTGGAAAAATTCTCATCTATGGGATTCGATTTGCATTTTGCTGCATGTTACGCAGACACGTACACACAGCAGCAAACTGTTAACACTGCGTCTTTGACGTGATAAAGGCTCGTCTTGTCTAGTTACATCGCCACAGTTCTGGGAGGTTTTCATGGAAGATAATATTTACTTTTAATAATCAATCATTTCAAGCCACTTATGACAAGAGTATCTCCTGTAGGGAGGAAGTACATATAGCTCAGTGGTGGAGTGCACGCCCAGCACGCACGAGGTCCCGGGTTCAATCCCCTAGTACCTCCATTAAAAAATAAATAAATAAACTTAATTACTTCCCCCTCAACGAAATTTAAAAAGTAAACAAAATTTTAAAATCAAAAAAAAAAAAAAAGACCATCTCCCGTAGCTCTTTAGAAAAGAGACTGGCTCAGATTTTTAGATTTTTCGAATAATCATTTTTCTACAGATGTTTCATGTGACCCAGTAACCCAGAACTTTTCATTTATTAATAATCCATGTTCACAAAAAGCACACGAAACACAAATTTATCACTGCTATTATTCAACAACGGTCTGGGCTTTAGTTTGGGACAAAATTCCTCAGATGTTTTCTAATGTCCTACCAGCTATCGATTTTTTTCTTAAAGCATATTCTGTTAGCATTAAAGCCTCTGACGAATTTGTAGGTGTACGACCCATCACAGATGAGAAGCCTTTCTGAAGTCTACCCCAGCTAAGGGAACCAAACAATCAGCGGGGGCCGCGGTCTGCGCAGTCAAGCTGGGGATGAGACTCCGGAGTCCAGGCGACTGCCCTGGGCGGGGCCGTTGTCGCCGTGGGTTCAGTCTGCCTCAGATGTAGACGGTCTGTCTCTTCCTAGTAAGTCTGTATTTCTTCCTAAACTTTCCATCTAAGCCTGGTACTATTCGGTTTATCTATCTGAAAATGAGGCATATAACAGAACCGTGAAAAGATGGAGAAGAGCCAGAAATAGTAAAGATGGAAGCTTCTGGAACATCAAAGGATTCCAGAGGCCCTGGAGGGGACATACGAAGAGTCCCTGAGGAAGGGACTCTTGTAACCTGTGAGGGGACGTCCTCAGGAAGCCCGGACAGGAGTGAGGGCCCTCCACCCCGTGAGCCACGCCACAGAACAGAACACGTCTGAAGGGCCCATCTGGGAGGAGGGCTGTGTTGTGACTGCACGACTGACATAAAGCTGGGATGTGGCAAGTATTCATGGAACACATACTGGAGGCGCCATGGCGTCTCACCTCTGTGTTAGGAAAGAACCCCTAAATGACAAGTGATATTTAACCCTCCATCCATTTTCCAAGGCCAACTTCAAGGCCGAGGGATCTGTGCAGTCACGCTGGCCCCATGTTTGGCTTCTGCTCTGCTGATGACATTTGAAACTCTACTAATCTTACAAGAAGTTTGCATTTTCATTTCCAGCAGCAAATGATACAGCCAATCCTGCCGTGTATGAAAGAGATAGAAAAACAGGATCTATTTGCTTGCGGGTTACAGACTAGACAAACACGTTAGAAGCATCTTCAGTCTCCCAGTAGATTTGGTGAAGGTGGTGGGCATCTCTGCAGTCCTTTTAATGCTACACTAGCTTGTTCCCTGTGCCATTCTCTTTGCCTGCTGAATCGTCAACATTGTTTTTTACTACTCACATTCCTGTTTTGTGGATGGAGAAATTAAGGTAGAAAATACACTTACCCTCTGGCATCTGGCCTGTAAGTAGAGCTACAGATGGAAAACGTGTGCAGAGATTTTAGCCATGCTAAGTTAATGCTATGTGATTCATAAATAGTAATCATTATTATTAATGTTACTAACAGTATCCCCCTTTAAAAAAGTTAGATGTTAAACTGTCAGATTTCCTGGGCCTACGTTTATATAACCTTGATTTACATTATTTTCAGCATTTTTCCTGTCAAAGTTTTACATTCTTCTCAAAACTCCTTAGATTTAGGGGTTGGGAAAATAATGTTATTTCTCACACAGGTAAGGATCATACATCAACTAAGGAAGTCTACCTCAAACTGTCTTCCCAGTCCTTCACACCATTAAGAACTGAAAATTTTCCATTCATTGTCAGAAAAATACAATTCCCTTTTTTCCCCATAATTCCTTATTTTTTCTTTTGGAAAAAAAAATGCATTCTCCATATTATGAGAGCAGAGAGGACAAAAATCCCTAGAGCATTTCTGCACTGATGACTATAGAAAGAACGTCCCAATGATTACCACGATTACAGCGTTCAAAACTCTAGCCCAAATAAAATTAAACTCAACTTGATCTCCTGTAATACATGATCCTTCAGACTGGGAATTAAAATTAAGTTTGAAGTACTAATCATGTGGTCCCATGATACAGATTATTGTCCAGCTGTTCAACAGGTGAGGTCTTTAACCTACACAGGGCTTGTGAAAAATCTGTTACCTTGCAGCAAGCGAAAACCACAAGCCAGTCATTAGTAGCAGCAAAATATTTAACCTCTGGGATTAGCACGTGCTATTTTTGGACAGGTTATATAACGCAGAAGGTGTATAATTTGTGAGCAAACTGTCAGAAGCTTGTCAATGTCTTTCTAGGTGCCAAGAGTAAGTATATAAGGGAAGGAGTGGGTGTCAGAATTTAGGTTCTCAGATCTATCAAATCAGCCACGAGCACAACTTCTACATTCATGGGATTCGTATCATAAATCAGACACTTTCATTTACTTCTCCTTCAATACTTGCTTAATCAGAACCATTTCTTCCTGTTAGACTTTCTAGGCAGCTTCCAAACTTTACTTCAACATTGGTATAAAATATGCAAGGCAGTCTCTCTGAAAATCCTAAGCAGCGATGAACTACGATGGAATTTACTTCCCTGTTTTTGCACATGACAACTGTCATTCTCAAAAGACATTTAAAATATTTATCCACTCCCCCCAGTGATTTGAGAATGAATTAATATCGCCACTTTTTATAATATGAAAAACAGGGTAAGCAGTGTTCAAATATTCATAGAGGATCATAAGTACTATCAAGTATTCAACACCATAAACTTGGCTGTTTGAGGAGGAATTAGTCTCCATAATAAAGGCAAAATTATTAAAAAATTGAGAAATGTGGGCTTTTCACAGTGATGGAGAAAATCAGTGGCTCACACCCGCCTATGCTTCGCTACACACAGATGAGATAAAATATTATTTTATAACCAAGAAAACAGGGCTCCAAATTATAGCCCTACTTTATGTAAACTATTTCATCATCAGAACAAAACAGAACATCTAGCCAACCACATATTCTATCCAGGCAGACTTGCAACTCATACATTTTTTTTCCCTCCTAAAATTAAAAAAGTCATTTAATTTCATTTTTGATTTAGCAGATCATCATCCTAATTGTTACGCTGAAATGAATTTCCCTGAGAAAAGCAGCCCCTAGAAAGATAAGCTGAACCTACTATAAATTCTACTGCATGGCAGGGAGATTTTTGCCTAAGATTTAAATCCGACGCTATATCATTCCTATGCAAGTTAATTCAAGAAAACAAAACAAACTTTAGAAGCGAACAATCAACATTTTCTTACACAGACAAGAGAGAGCAGCTGAAACACTTCTCAATGTGTAATAGTTTAGTTTTGGTAGGAACACCGGTAAATGTAATAAAAAATTCTTAAAAGGTGCTAATGCCTCTATAAATAACACGCTATTTATTACCACAGCACACACACTGGGAGAAGCAGAATAAAAATACTGTCTGTTGTCAGTGCCAATGGCATTGAATGAAAGTAACTAGTGCTAATCCTGTGCCAGGACAGAGGGGATGGCTTTACGAGGAGTGGCGCATTTCAGTCTTTACCTGTCTTCGGTTCCACTGAGAAGTACGGCTGTCCCTGCAGAATGCTGTAGACCACTCGCGCGCTGTTGCCATACGTGGGGTCATCAGCATCCGTTGCTGTCACTTGTACCACTGAGGTCCCTACATGCCAGTCCAAAAACCACCTGAATTAAAAACTCCCAAATGCCACAAAGCATTAAGAACTCACAAAACACTGAAAATTCTACATGAGACTTGCTTTGAACGTTTTTATGTTCCTTGTTCCAAGAGACGTGAAAAACTGATTTTTTTTTTGCATAAGACAAACCCCCCAAAATGACAAATGATCATTAATCCCTCAAATATTGAAGGGATATGAAAATATATTGGCAAAATATAAGACTGATGATGTCAGCTAGACAGGAATATATACTCAGATTTGGATGGGACTCAAATTTTAAGCATCTCATCCATCAAGGTCAAGTAATAAGTTTTTACCCAGAGCGATCTCTGTAAGTTTGAATCCCTGTCTAGAAGGCAGCATGACATATGCTAGCATCCTGACACTCAAATCATGGAGGAGACCTCACTGCTGTAGCAAAGTAAAGCCAGACAGAAATGGAAACTTCGTCAGAAACTGAATAAACATTCAATCGATACATTTCGTTGGATACTCTGGATACTCGGTGGCTGCCCTACCTTTTCCGTAGTTTTATTTTTCATTTGTTTCCACTAACTGAGTTAAAAACAAAAGCATGAAATGAACATTTAAACCAAACCTTCCCAAAGGAAAAAAAGCACAGCAACTTGACAAATTGCAATATTGGTTATTTTTCTATATTTCGTATGACAAGAGTGTCTATATCACTTGTTCATTTTACTACGTATTTACTAAACTCCATATGGAAAGCATTTACTGTGGTCTGTTCTTTTTATTTCCATTTGGAATATGATCTTAAAAATACCAGATACTCACATCTGCTTCATTTATATATTTAAGCATGTGCTCTTTTGTCATTTATGTCCTAGTTGACAGGAAGGAGACAAGTCCCTTTATGTATTCTTTTAAGGTTCAAGTTGGTTTCTAATAAATTCTGGAAAAGATGGCATTTTTAATCTAACATCTCTTTTAGATGTATTACTATATAGATCTCCTTTTCTAAATGCCTTAAATAAGTCATTAACGCCCATTTTATCATAAATCTGTTCTTTTTCACATTATGATTTCCCTTATCAATTCCATTTTCTTTCAAACTGGCTGGAAATTATGAAGTTGTATCTACATGGTACCATTTTTTAAATTCTGAAGTTTTATTTTTTCCTTTCATAGACTTAGGAGATGATGTCCTGTGGATGTTTGGTAGGACCAAATGGTGAATGATGTATATTTAAATATCTTTTTAAGAGTTAGACCCTGATTATTTTAAAATGTTAGAATCAGTGACTTTAATGTTCTCTAGTTCCTCTACAATGCACTGTCTTTACAGCAGTGTTCATTCTGTGATGCTCAAGGACTGATTTTTCTACTTCACTGGAAAAGAAGACAGCTTGAAACAAACAAAATAATGAAAACTATCCTTCAGTGAATTTGATTGTGTGTCACATAGTTTTTTTGGAAGTGTTCAGTAAGTAATCTACTACACACACACACACGTACACACACACACTCTCATGCTTCTCTGTGCTCTTCTGGCAACAAGTGTTCCAAGGGGCCTACGAGTTTGTGTTAACATCTTACAATTAGTTACTATGCAATGAAAAAATAGGCCTGAATAATAAACACTGCAGACTCATGCTGTATATGTCATACCATATAGTGGCTACTATAATTATTTGGTTAAACATTTTGATAAACTATGGCTCACTATAAATCTATATGCCATTTTATATGGACATTTCTTGTTGTTAGTTCAAATTTTGATAGTAATCAAGTGATCTCAATTAGTGTCAAGTAAATCCTGAAGACATCTGAAAATCCTTTTCTAAAAAGTTCTGAACCTGTTAGAATCCATCAAATATCTAAAATGACTTACATGTATACCTAACAGTCCTGCTGTCTAATATCAGAGTGGTCCCACTGGAACCACAGCGAGAGTGCATTATTCAACGTCTAGAACACTAAGCTCACATTAATCCAACGTACACGGCTATGTTCTACGTAGGAAAGGGAAATCTTAGCGAGACCACGAAGAATGCCCCAAATGCCTGGGAGAGGTATGGAGTTGAACCGAATTGCTTAAACACACCTCAAAACTTCGTGTTTCTAAACATGACTACTTTGGGGAAGGCTCTGTGACTTCTCTTTTCTCTGAAACCTCCCAAATCTTCTCGCTGCTGCTGGCATCGTAGCTGTGTCTGTTACTGTCATTCAACAGCAGACGCAGGTAATACTCTGAGGGTGTGGGCGGGACTGAGAGACTGCGAACAAGCCCGTTCGGTCACAGAAATGTTTACAGATAAGCTAATTACAGGGAGGTGCTGCCACTGTGGGCCAGAGTTTCTCCTGACTCGGGTCTAGATTCCTCTGGTTCATTTTCGGCCCTTACTCCTTCAGCAGCCAGAGCCCTGGTGCCCCACATAATGCTCCCTCTCCCATCCGTCAGGAACAGAAATTTAGGGTCACTAAATTGCGGTCCCCACATAATACTCATCTCTGCAATTCCACTCCCCGGCACAGCGGATGTGTGCACTGAATGCTGGAACGAATGCAATGACCTTTACTTGAAGTAAAACAAGTCTCACCAGGTACCATTTTCAACTTAAATACCTGTGTGGAGACATGTGTTAAAATGCAAGTTCAATTATTACTTTAAATAAACTTCCTCCTTCCATCCTATATAAACGGGGAATACATATATAAATCACCTGATCTCTATCCCAGCCCCGTAATTTTTTGGGGTGCTATTATTTTGTAAGATCATACCTAAATCACATGCTGGCTGAAAACTATTCCAAAAGTACCTAAATAAATGGAATTTAAAAGAGTTTAATAGTATTTGAAACAAAGTATATATGAAAAGTAATTTATTTCCCATTTTTCCAGTATTGGGGCAATGTCAACAGGCCTTTGAGTAAAACAGCCTTTCATTATCCTTTTATATATCTCACACTGAGTATCACTTTACCGTTATTATAAATTCAATATAAATTTTCATGCATTTAAATTTCTAGAGAAATTACAAAAAGATTAGTGGTGGCACATGGATGGACGTTTATGGGTTCAAGTATACTCTAAAGGCAAACAGGCCAGCTGGTCCCAGCGCTAGCCTGGCTGGCCACTGGGGGTCTGCCTGATACCCCGGCCCCAGAGAGATGCTTAGAACAAGTGATTTATTATCCTCGTATCAGCAAGAAGAAAAGTAAAAGATCATCACGTAGCTGTGTTTGGAAGGATTTTCTTTTTTAACCTCTTAGGCATAATTTTATAATCAGTTTTTAATTTTAAATATTAAACTGAAAAGGGGTTGTTAAGACCTATGTGATTTCTTGAGGGCACTGAGCTAACTGTGTGAAAGTGAGAATTTCCTAATTTTCCATATAAATAAAATGATGTGTCAAAAAATAGAATTTGGGTGCTGGCTGCTCACACATCTCCAACTTTCCCGTCACTCTAGCTGGCAATCACGACACAAACACTAGTGTCATTTTCTTGCCCCCGGGGTGCCTATGACGACTTCATTTTAAATACAAACCTCCTAAGATCAGACGGTGCAAAATCAGCTGGCTCCTGACTTACCCACAGGGGACATTTCGGGGACCCCGGCCGTGTAGGGGCCGTCCAGGAACCTGGGCTCATTGTCATTGATATCCTGAATCTTGATGACGAACTCGGACTCGGGCTCCACGGGCTTGTTGGTGAGCCTGTCCAGCGCCTGGGCTCGGAGCGTGTAGTAGGCCTGCTCCTCGCGGTCCAGCCTCTTGGTAGCGTGAATGTCCCCCGTGTTCTCATCGATGATGAAGATGGAGCTCGCCCCTTCGCCTGACAAGATGTATTTGATGGAGCCATCTCCCTTATCGACGTCAGAGTGAAGCTGGTGAAAAATTCCCGTGAGATGAGATTAACTTACAAGAGAGGCAGTGATACGGAGACGCGTTAAAAAAAAAACAGTTCTTACATCAGGCAGCAGGATGTGAACTTTTCTACTGTTCTTGGGAAGATAAGCTGGTGTGTCCTGCGCACGGCAGAAAAGGCTATTAGAATGTGTGAGCAAGACAATTTCATTCCTTCCTGGAAACAGTCTCATTTCCCAGGGGATTTTCTATCATTCCCAAAGTTAGGAACTTGTTGTAGTGTTATTTTTGGTTTTGTCTGTCCTTGACAGTTTTAGCCATCTTCTCTGAACAGAGAGGACATTCAGTAAACATGTATAATTGGTCGCTTTGATCTTATTCCAAGCAAAGGGACTTGCTATAGAACACTGATAAATTTAGATCTAATATATTATTTAATGTGCTTAGAAATCACCACATCCGTTAAGGGTACCCTTCCCTCCCACCCTCACTCCTTTTGATGATATTAAGTATGGATGGAGGTCCAGTCACTAAATTGGTCTCCAAAACCTGCTCTGTATTTTAAAAATTGAAGCTGAAAAAAAATGACACTGCTTTCCGAAGTCAGAATTTTAAATCAATATGTGCCCAAGACTTCAAGGAAAACCTTTCTTGAAATACCAAGAACTGCATTAGATTTGCATGATTAAGCGCGGCCGCCAAAGCCGAGACGTTTCCTATCTGGAGCTGGCCCTGCCGTACGTCAGAGCATGATGTTGAACAGGGGAACCCGGGCAAGCTCCGGAATGATCACACACTTTCCTGAACTTCACAACAGACTGAGTGCTGTACTTCTCAGGTTATTTCAATGCTCTTTCCTCCCCTATACCTGCCATGATTCTGGGCTGCAATTAATACAGACGCAAAGACCCAATCTACCAAATGGCAAGGCTTCTCACTGCCCTGCAGAACTACGCTCTCATCCTTTAAAAGACAAGGTGCTGGACGTAGCAGATACAGGAAGCATCCGAGGCGGGTGTGCGCCTGGTCCACTTCCACCCTTCCCCGGTAGTTTCCGAGGACGCCGCTTTTGTGCCGTCAGCGTTACGGAGCTGTAACCGCGGTGCAGGTGCTCCCCTCCAGGACACTCCGGTGCCTGGGGGAGCCTTCAGTTGCTGTGGTTTTCAGGCAGAACCAAATCATACCAAAAAATTAACATCTGGCACAAGTTATCAGATTTGTTCAGGGTGGAATTATCTAGTGGATCACTCTGCAGCATGGTTATCCAGCATAGGGAGAAACTGTCTTCTTGAAATACAATGAATGATTTAATTTTCTTAAGTCTTTCTTAGGGTTACTGTCACCTCCATATTTCCATCTAATTTAAGATGAGGCAAGCTAAGAACCACTGAAGTTTAAATTGCAGAATGCTCCCAATGTGCCAGCGGCTATTAATGTTTTCTACATAGCAACCCATTCAACGCTCACGTTGAATGACTTACTTTCCCTTTAACAGAGGAGGAAACCGAGGCAGAGCAAGGCTACACACCGTCTCTGGGTGCACCAAGAGTAGGAAAAACTCTAGGCCCGCGGGAAGCCCACTCTGCACTCCCTGCAACGGGGTCCCGCCTCTGAGCGAGGGGCGGTGTCCTGAGAAGTGCGGGCAGCGAAAGTGGCTACAAGGGAGAACGCAGGGAAGGAGGGGAGGGGACAGGCGACCCGCCCCCAGCCCGATGGCTCCTGAAATCCTAAAGCAGCTCAGTCCCTCCGGGGTGGGGTTCTGTGACTCGCCAGGAGGGACCTTTCTCAACACCACACACTAGCAATAAACTCTACTGCACTGACCAACACAGAGCGAAAACTTGAGTCCTGACACAGATGCAGATGACAGGCGATAATAAGTCGTTTTCAAGCAGCTAAGGCCTCAAGTACGCCCCCTGACGCACACACTTCTCACAGCTACTCCCCCCACCCTCCTCACAGACACGCATCAGTAATACTCAGGCTGCGTCCTTAATCAAAGGTTTGCTGTCTCTGAATATCATTAGGGGCTCCCACTTATAAGACCAGCCTCTAGGATTCATTTAACTCATTCTCATCCACTGACTGCTGTTTTCAGGGCATGGTGACATAATGTTCCTGTGATATTCAGGTAAAGGTGGGGGGTTGTGTTCCTTTCAATATCTAACACCCATTAAACCCCGGCTGATTTTTAACTTGAGTTCTGATGTGTTTTACACGATGTGGAATTGTCATTTGTTCTCCATCACTGACAGCATGAAAGCTGAAAGGTTTAAAAAGTCCCTCTCACTTGCTTCTCCAGTCATTCAAGGATCAGAATTCTTCTCTTCCACCTTCCTCCTACACCACCACCACCACAAATACACATACACACACACACACAATTTCTGGAGCCCTGAAATCTACCATCCTCCCCATCACCAACACTTTTCTCCCAGCTGGGACCATCACCAGGCTTGTAACCACTGCCAAAATTCACAAGCAGAAAATTACTTTGAGTCTAACCTCAGAGTCCTTGCAAGGTCAGTGTGAGCGTCTTCAGTTGAAAGTGGAGGACCAACTTTGAAACGATAAGATGGACCCAAAATTACCAGATGCATTCAGACGCTGAATCTGTGAGATCATGCATACTATTCTATCTTCACAGGTGGAGTGAAATCCATGCTGTTAGAAAAAACTACTATCCTGTGCTGGAAAAGCATGTTGTGTAGAGAAAAACGGGGCAAGTGCAGAACTACTGAATGGAGTTCTGAAATTAATAGGTGTCTGTGTGGCTGACTCATGTGCTCCTTCCTCCTCTCCCTCCGTCCCCCTCTCTCCTTCTCTCTCTCTCTCTCTCTCACACACACACACACACATACAGAGGCATGCACAATCTTTGTAAATGACTGACTCTTACGGGATAGAGTACTGCTCTCCACTGTGAAACCTCTAGCCAGGAAAAAAAATGCAGTTGTCCCACATTATGGTAAGAGAACAAATAAACGATAAATGAAAAACACAATTAAAAAAACACAAATATTTGTACTCTGGGGCAGACTAGAACTCATGATGGTATGTCTATTTCATTTGCAAATATCCTTGGAAATAGGACCTCGTGATTCATCTAAACAATATCAACAGAATCTTGATTCACTAATCACCAGACAAAGCTCACTTTTACCGCCTGTGTCCCTAAACCCTTTTTAAAATATTTGTTGTGACTCCAAAGTAAAGATTTACATTAAATAACTTTTTTTTTGGCAAACAGGCACAAACAGGAAGGCGCACAGACCCCTCAGCTGAGTCTAGTTCATGATAAGATGAAAGCAGCAGCAGGGAAGGAGAGCCAATCATGATGGGAACCCAGTGTGTCACTATGCCAGCCCTGTGTGCGGTGACAACCTAAGAAATACCCTGCGGGTGGGACTCAGCCATAATCTACACAGGCCAGAATGCAAAGCACACTGAACATGCGCCTAGCATATAATACGTTTCACCGTCCCTCATGGTTCCCTCGTCCCCTGCTTGATGGGGCACGCACTCATTATCTCTAATACATCAGTCCATTCTTACCAGTCACTCTGAACAATAATCCTAATTCAGAACCTTAAAATCTTTCACCTGGGCTAATGCAAAACTCCCTAGTTTCTTTCCACTTTTAATAACTCACATCATCTAAGCTGTTAGCCTGCATGTCAGAAATTATCTCCCTAAAACATACACTGAATTGTGTCACACAGCTCATCAAACACATTTCTTTGCTTCCCACGGTCTATGGGTTTCACCCCAAGTTCTAAGCACGGGGCTCCATGTGGCCATATGCAGGTTCCCTGATCTCTCCCTCTGCCGCGTCTCAGAGGGCCATCAGTGGTCCAGGAATATGGGACTGGTCACCACTGTCTGAGGAAAGCAAGCATCTCTACCCCTTTCAAGACAAGTCGTCCAACATCTTACCCACCAGCTGACACCCAACTGGCTTAACGTCAAAGTCACCTCTACTGCAGCCTTAACGATCCAGTCCCCCCACCCCCATGCCGCGCTGTTTGAATTTCTATGACAGACGCATTTAATTCTGCTTTATATTGCAAATCTGGTTTAGTTGTTTTCCCATCCAACCTCTTCTTTCATTTATAAACTCCTTAAGAGCCAGGTTCCTTTTATCACCATCCTCCACATTCTCCACCAATAATTTGTTGTATTAAATTTAGTAAATTCATAATCCACTTTGTAAAACAGTAGTGCTTGTTTTATTTCAATTTCTGTCCTTTTAAGTTTTAATAGCATTAAGCCAAAAGAAAACGAATGAAACAGAAAACATCCTATATCTCTGGTTTGTTCTCCTAATTCTCTAAACTGCCTAGATGGAGTTCAGATACCTGGCTTCCTGCGCCTGTGGCAACACTGGCATATGGGCGGGTTTGTGTTCCCTGAGAGACAGAGCCCTGGAGGACAGACATGCTTTCTATTCCTCAGGTTCCCTAGGTCTTGTACAGCACTTCTGATGCACACAGAAGGGCTTCAAGCGGGTTTTGTATTTTAAAAACCCTTGACGCCCTCAGATGGCAGAATCTTGTGTCCTTGATCCATTTTTTCATCCACCATTTTTTTAAAAAATTTAAGACAGTAAAAAGCAAAACTAAAACCAGATCCATGCACTGCAGTTCTGACAATTTTCTTACATCTATTATTCAACCTGATAAAAACCACCTGATCTAGCACCCACAAAAGTCTTAAAAAGCCCAAAGATGGTGAATATTCTTCAAGTTAGCAAAGACTGAAGTAAAAAAAAAATCAATTCAAAATACTGATCAATTTTTCTTCCCTCCATGAACATCTTAAACTTGGCTTGTTATCTGATCTTATCGATGATCTTGTCTTGGCATCTTAGTCCCCTCCTCTCTAGAACACAGATTAAAAATATCTACCCTTGGACTTAACTGAACATTTGTGACAACTACTTGAGATGATGCAGTAGAATGTGATTCACAAAGGTAAATTACTATGATGTCAGGACTGTACTTTTTAACGTTTTTGCCTTTGGCAACATACTAAACTTCCATGTCACAAAAAAAGAACAGAGACATAAGATGGAACTATTAGTAAAGAGATCATGTTTATCACAGAAGTGTTGGCGCTAAAAAAATAAAACCAAACAAAGTCTCTGTGAGCCTCACTGACCTACGTATGATGATGGAAAATATTAGAGGTTTATATTCAATTGTTCCATAATGAACATTCGCATAAGAAAAATGCAGAATGCATTATTATATAAGTAAAAGTTTGTACTGCTACTACATTTGTATACAAAAATGGAATATCAATGGCTAAGCAAAAAAAATATGCGTATGTTCCTTGAAACAGCATGCAAATCCATCTGAGAATGATTTATATTGAATATGAGGCTAGAGTAAATTTTATACTGTTGGTTTACTTATTATAGATTCCTGATTTTTTAAGTTTAAAAATATATTACAGATGGTTAGAACTCACACAGTGAACTTTTAGTAAACTTTTACAAGGTTAAAATTATAAGCAGAGAGGGCAGATTTGAACAATAATTGGCAGAAATAAAACTGCTTGAATACACACATTACATGCAAGTTTTCTTTCCTCATTATGTTTTTTAATAGATATTTTCCACATGCCACTGGCTACCATGTAATTATCAAGCTGTTGAAGAAATATTACAAATGAAAACAAGTGTATGAGTCATTTTTGTTTCTGGTTGAAGGATTCCTAATTTATAGTTATCATTGTGGTCCGGGGTAATGGAATATAATCTTCTTGTGAAGCATCTCTGAGAAAGACGCATGTTTTAAGAAATATAAGTACTAATTACCACACACAGAGAAATAAAGGAAAGGGATACAGTTTATGAAGTGCTCAGGTAAGGTTAAAATTGCCAAGAAAATCATCTCATTTCTTTTTCTCTTTCTAACCCACAAAAACATTAAAAGAAAGGAGGGACTACTCAGATTATTTTTCTTCGCAGGAAAAGTCCACACTAATCTAGTGGCAAGAAACATTCAATCTGGGGTCTCAGTTCATCCTTAGTCTGCTCAATACACGGGAACCAGAGGGACAGCTACTGAATCTCCACTCTGCTCCTAATCGTGCTGCCTTGATCACACTTAAGTCCCAGTTTACCGGTGGTTACAGATGAGCATCCTAAGTGTCCACTCAGCCTGGAACCTTAAAGTGAGGATAAAATAAAGCAAGGCATTTGGAAGTATTTTGCAAAATGTCTTATGTTCAACAGAAGTACCTGCCTTCCTTGGGGGCAGGGGGAAGGTGGGGATCTTGCTTGTGTTTGAAAAAAGTTCTACATTTAAGTCTATGTTCCTCTAAGCTTCACATTAAGAACCACATCTTTCTCACCAGGGACTGAGTGCTAACAGCTCAGAAAAGTGCTTTCCATCCCACACGGCTACACGTAACTCCCAAAAGAAAAACTCTGCCGCAGTCAGCCCATCCTCTCTCTGGTTGCTGTCTCCAGGTCTCATCCAAAACTCTCAAACAACTTACAGATCTGCCTTGAGTCGAATGCTTACTGATCAAAACTCCTTGTCACCCAATTTAATTGGGAGAACATCGTGCTGTCCCCTTCAGGGCTCCAGTCTGCTGTCTCGCACACTTAGTTGTGAACTCCAAGTTGTCAACCAGAAGCCGTTAAAAGGCCAGCCCCCGGAAAGCTTAAGCTTTTTTCTTTCTGAGCAGAAGTTGAGCAAAAGCTGCATGTCCCAGGAGGCAAAGAGCAGTCCTAAGACCAGATGCCACGTGTCCAAGTCAAGGTAAGTATGGAAATTCAGAAGAAGCACTTAACAAATGTGATTGTCAATTTACCAAGCAATTTAATGTCTCTTCAGCCCAATAGTAACACCAAAAAGGGTAAGGGTTAATTTTGTATCTAAGGAATTCATTTTTAATGTAGTTACAAAATTATTAGGAGGTCAAAACATTATGACCTGAGTTCTTACAAACCAAGAAGCTTGCACACGACAGTGGTGAAACTTCCCCACAGACCAGCCGAGAAGAACTGGGTCAGTGGGTCAAACCCCACGGGCAGGCTCTTTTGAATGCTTCTCGGCAGTCATCCTCCTGAAACTTCTCCTGACCTACCGTCAGGAGACACTGGAAGACACTCACCACCACAGAGGCAGGGCCTTCTGAAGAGGCCACCTTTAAGAAGGGCAAAGATGGTCTGTACGTGGCATTTTGGAGAAAGCGTTCACGTGTATGTTGCAGAGGGTTGACAGCACCATGCGTTTGCAAAATATTTCCAGAAGCCTTCTGCACTGCACCGCCTTGTGCATTCAAACACAGAAACAAGAGCGGTTAAAAGAATGGAAATATAATTTTAGAGTCTACCTTTGGGGCGAAAACGTCAACATGCGTTATGATTCAAGAAGAGAACAGTCTACACTATCTTATCAATTCTAACACAAGGGGAGTATGTATCCAGTGTGACCCGATGGACCAGCAGACAAAGACGTGGAGAAATACAGAGTGTCAGGGCGAGCACAGCCCAGGAGGGCGAAGACGGAAGAGCAGCTCAGCAGGAGGAGGACAGCGCCAAGGCCATCATGCAACGCTTACCCTTATTAATAAGAGCTTGGACGGGAGGCCTCATGGTTAACTCCAGATCCACAGCAAGGACACACGTGTACTTGTGATTTGTGATATCTGTTTGGTAAACTTGGTCTCAGATATTCTTCACTGGGTATTTAGTGTTTGTCTAATTAACGATCTGACATCTCTGTAAAGTTTCACATTAAAAAAAAAAATCCCCCTGGCAGTTATGAAAAGCACCAGGTTGAAAGCACCACTTCAGCAATTGCCTGGACCAGAGGGACACAACTGATGTAATCGGGGTGCCCAAACTGGATTGTCCTGGTAAAATGAAGTCTGCATCACGTCTGTTTCTGTCTTCGTCTAGACACTCAACACGTGTTTATCATCTATTCAGAAATGTACAGAGTATTCTCTACTGGTCAGGTGTACAGGTGTGCATGGATGGAGACGAGACAGCACAGGGCAAGAGCCTAAGGCACTGAACCCAACAGTCCCCATGGTCATGAGACATCTACGCCGGGGCAGGCTGTCGGAGCACCAGGCTGAACACACCACTGCAATTCTGATCATCACAAAAACGCACCCACTAAATGCCGAGAAGTCACACGGCAGGGTAACCAAGCCAACTTCAGGGGCTCAGGAAAGTGCTTTTTAAACAAAGAATATTTAAGTTGAGCCAGGCAGGCTAGTCATTAGTAGGACTAGTCTGCGTAACGAAGGGCAGAAGGCAATTTCCAGGAAGAAACTGGACTGAATGATGAAATATGCTCCTAGGGATGGGCCAGGCTAAGCAATACTCAGGTGCCACTAATTTATAATACAGAGTAACTTGCGGAATATTAGAAGCATTTGATGTTTCGATGATGCAAAGTGACGAGGCATTATTAACATAAACTGCGTTTTCTGTATACGACCAGGTCACGTTATCAAGACGTAGGGATGCCCTTGGGCTCTGGGCATCCGTCTGGGACCAGAAAGATAAACAAAGAACAACTAAACGCTCTGCTTATATTTTATGTGAAGTTAGTCCTGGTCAGACAGAGAGAACATTAAGGTGATGCAAGATCTGTGACACAGAAATGATTCACGTCTGCTCAGAAAATTAACATTTTCATCTATCCATAAGCTTATGATAAAAAGATTGAAAATATAAAGCAAAGAGAGTAGGAGTGGAGAAAATATTTCTGATCTCAATTAAACTTCAGAGGTTCTTCTGTACAGCACAGGGAACTATATTCAGTATCTTGTAATAACCTTTAATGAAAAAGAATATGAAATGAATGTATGTATGTTTATGCATGGCTGGGACGTTGTGCTGTACACCAGAAATTGACACATTGTAACTGACTACACTACAATTTTAAAAATAAATAAATAAATAAATAAACCCTCAGAGGTTCTTTTCAAACCGAGTCTCCCCTCCAGGGGGATCCATGGTGGGTCACCCATCGCACCCACCCCGCTTCACCCTAAGGGCTGAAAGACCCCTCCAACTGCTGAAGTGCTGGAGCCCGTCTGCTCTCAGCCCTCCACCACTGGCTGCAGGAAGACTCACCCTCCACAGGAGAGGCACGCCCCATCTAATACCACGCAGCCTCCTGGGACAGACAGAATTGCAAGACCAGGACTGCAAGTCAGAGTGGAAAGGTCCATGGTATCTTCACCCTTCCTGACCCCCTTGGAGACACGTGTTTCCACTCCTAGAGCGAGGTGATCCCACTAGGTTCGTGGTGCTGCATCTGGACTCTCAGCGCCAAAGGCCCACTGCACAAGGAGAAGCACGGCCGTCCTGGTAGATGTCCTGGACCCTGATCACCAGGAGGGGGTGGGCTTGTTATAAAACGGAGGCAGGAAGAACAGGCTTAGCATCTTGGTGCTTTGGGTACCTCTTGATACTCCCTTGCCCCATTTCACAATAAATGGACGAGTCCAAGAACCTCAGCCTGAAGCAGGCTGGGTGATGAAAGGACGATGATGAGTATCAGCTGTAACCTGGAGACCCGGTGACAGCATCAGGGGCTGGAGTTCATTGTGCTGAACTTCTTGTAAATTCCACTAAGAAAAGAGGTCAGACACGTTCTGTAGAAGAGGCTCCGTGAACTGATCACCTGAAGCAAAAGGAGTGACCTCCTAGGGGAGGTCACGGCAGCCTCCCAGGTCCACTTCCCACCTGAGCCCATGAAACACTGAAGCGTTTGTGTCTGATGCTTCTCAGCTAAGTCCTTCCTAAAAACCGTCACTCACCTTGGGGAGATACACAAATCTGGCCGACTGCAAAAATGGCAAAGCGTGATAACACTTCTTTCTCGGGGGCATCCCCAGTCAATGACTGGCTGATTTAAAGCTCCTCCTGCTCCCCTGATCCAGACAACTTCGAAGAGCCTTCCCAGCTCCAAAGTTTCCCAAAGCTTAGCCACCTTCTAGGTTGTGATGGCACTGCAGTTCAACACCCCCCCCCAAGTCTTGGTTCCAAAAACGCACTCCAGTGAATCCCCCATGGGCAAATCCCAGTCTCAGTCTGTTTCCTGGACAGAGGTCACTAACTCAATGACTACTGAGTGGCAGGGCTTGGCTCTCCGAGGACATCTGTCCTGTGTACCACGCCTTTTCCTCCAGGGGCACAGAAGAGTCAGAGGCACATCTGCAAAATGTGGTAAAAGCTACGTGTGTGCAGATCCAAAGCAGCCACAGCTGAAGGAGAAGCTGCAGGCTTCTATGGCCAGACTCATAAAAGACATCACCCCGGGCAGAGGGTCCCTTGTTTCTTTCCATCCATACCTGATATAAGCTTATTTTTCCCATGCTCCCAAATGCTTTGATTTCTAGAAACTTCTCACTGTGAATGAACCAGTCACAAGGGTAGGGAGGATGCACGTGGTGTTTTCCGTTTGGAGAGGGAGAAGCAGAATGGCCTTAACTCAGTGAGCCCAGGGGCCACACCTGCACCCATTTCTCCTTACACAGCCCCTCGGTGCCCCACGCCCAGGGCAAGTGTCATATGTCCGCCCAAGGTGGGATGTCCAGACCTACTACATAATAGCCCAATCGGAGTAGGTCTCCATGGGTCCAGAGTGTTTTTAATTTTTTAAAGCCTTCCAGGTCATACCCTTATACACCACCCAATGCAAGAACCACAGACCTGAAAGGAAGAAAGGAACACAGGGGCTAAGGGAAATATTCTTCCATTTTACTGATACTATCACTTTGAAGGACTGAGGAAAAGAGGTTTATTAGTGAGAGAAAAAAGAGCAAATAGGCACATCTACAAAGTTTAAGCAACACTTGGCCCCCCTCTGCCCCCCCCCCAAATCTCTGCCATAATTTCAATAAACACAAAAACACAAAATCAACAAATCAACCTGTTTCACCTGTCAGGACCCTCCACAGGACACGTGACTGTCTCATCTGAAATACAGCAGGCATGAGAAACAAGAAGGCTATATTCTGGCTGAGATGAGCTAAGGACTAAATCATGTTTTCTCCTCTCTAAAAGAGAAAACATCATTTAAAAATAAATGAAGACAGTAGAGCCCCTTCTGAGCCTTCTCAGCACCCAAGGCAGCCACAGGGATGTGACCACCACCATGCCTTCCACCACGGACAGTCTGGATCTCCATGTTCAAAGCCTTATGGGTAAACGTTTCTATAAAGAAAACGTTTATAAATAACGTTAGTGCGGCTATAGGAACGCAGGAGAGGAAACTGGCCCCAACATGTCTCTTTGTCATGCACATTATTTTGAGCTGAAAACAATCAAGGCCCAAAAGACTCA